TTAGACAATGTATTTTTTTTTTTTTACAGAACTTAGACATTGTGATGTCGAAGGAATCATTGATAGCAACGATGATTCTTCCCAGGGGTGAACCTTTATGTTTAAAATGAAATGAGGCCTTATGATTTGGATTTGACTTGAAATTTGAAGGTGTTTTGGAAAGAATTTGCTGGACCTAATTAGTACCAAGTGGTGTTTGTTGTTTAATGTCAAAAACTAGTTTAACAGAGCTTTCAAGGGCTTATTCCAGCAGTATTGTGGTGCACAGTGGCTTAAATCATTTCACAGGGTTAATATTACCTTTTACCATCTTGTGACACAATTACACAAGGGTTTGACATAGTACATTGCAGCCATTCTACATGTTTAGGCTATTTTTCTGTGTAAACTGAGGTTCAACATATGAAAATTAGCTACAGGGTTTTACAAGGGCATTATGGTCTTTTCACAAGTGCATTACATATTTATTCATATGTTCAGATAGCTGTATTGTAATAGCCTTTATTTAGCCTGCATTGTGAATTATACAGTCTAAGGATCTGTATTGTGCTGTGATTGACAAGTGATTGTTACAAGGACATTTTAGTCTTTTTACTTGAAGCTCAGGTGTGTGACACATGGCTGTAGTCTTAAAGTGATAGTATATATACTACGAATGCATTTCTTAGGGACTAAGTTTGGATAAGAATGCTATTACAACTTTATCAATATGAGGTATAATTTCTGTATATTAGAAGACAAAATAACTAAGGTGGCAACGGTGTATTGGTCTATTCACAAGAAGAATGTGAGAACATTCTCGAGCCAATGATTGGATAAATGTGTCATGTATACATCCTTCTTAAAGTAGGACTTTTTTAGTGATCTCAAGTATACATATGTTGTTATAGAATTTTTAGGGTTTTAAGCCTTATTGAAAACCCTAGTATTGGCCTACAATATACTATACTCGAGAGCCTCTTTTGAGAAAACATTTTTAAGGTCTTTGATGATTATCTGAGCTTAAAATCTTCATAAAAATGTCACTGGATTGATCCTTGTTACTGTACTTTTCCTAGAGGTTCTTCGCTATCAAGAATTGCTAATGCAAGGCTGGTTTAAAGGTTGAGTTTGAGCCTAAGGTTGCTGTGGAGCCAAATGAAGGTTGAGATAGGTATATTTGAGATATTTACATTTCTTGAGCACTTGTTGTTGAACTATAATATGTTGTAAATGATTTTCCACTCTCAAACCTGTGATTTGGCATACTTGTTGGTTTATCTTTGTGATTTATATATAAATTGATTATATCTTGCTATGCAATGAATGATCTGCATTCTAGCAAGTTTATGTATTAAAGAATCCAAGGTGTTAAAGTTGGCCTTTGGACAGAACTAAGGGTTCATGTTGTCAAGGCCTATCTCTGATTATAGTTATATATAAATGCTGTAATTATCATGTTTATCAAATGAGTATGTTTGTAATTGTGATAAACAAGATAAGTTCAGACACTATCTTCTTCATAATTACAAACATGCTCATTTGATAAACATGATAATTACAGCATGTATATATAACTATAATCATTTGATAATTACTGTATGTGTAAAGGCTATGAAAACTAGTGTCTGAACTTGCATACAACTAGTGGAGCTTATTATTGGCTGAGGCCAAGAACCAAGGTTTTTCCCTATTGAGAGGGTTTCCTTGTATATATTGTGTTTAGTACCTTATTGTGTATTTGTTGATCTTGTTATGAACAAGAAGAAGTTTAAGTTGACCAATTCACCCCCCCCCCCCTTTTAGTCTAACAATTGGTATCAGAGCTTTGGCCTTCACTGTAAGGTTCTAATATACCTGTAGTTGATCCTAGCAATGGAAGAAGGCCAAGTCACAAACAAGGCACCAAGGTTTGATGGCTCTAACTATGATTCTTGGAAGATCAGAATGGAGGCCTTACTAATGTCTCAATCTTATGATGTTTGGCATGCCACTATGTTTAGTGTTATGGTTCTCAATCCAACCAATCCTTCTGCAAATGATAAACTTATTGTTGCTAATATGGGAGAGTAACCAAACATGTCATTCTTTGTGCTCTTAAACAATAAGAGTTTATAAGGATTAAAAATTGTAAAATAGCTAAAGAAATATGGGATTCTCTTAAGGCTACTCATGAAGGAAACAACATAATCAAAGAAAACAAGATACAACTCTTGAAAGTTCAATATGAAAATTATAAGATGGAGGAAAGGGAAGTTGTAGCTGATTATCTATTTAGAATCAATGATATAATAAACAACATGAAGACCCTTGGTGAAGACATCAAAGATTCTTAAGTATGCAAGAAGATACTGAGGTCTCTCACTCCTTGATTCAATGCCAAGGTCACCATTATTGAAGATAAAGATTTGTCTCTAATGAAGATTGATGATCTACTAGCCTCACTCACAACTTAATTATGAAATGAGAATTGGTATTCCAACTTAATACAGAAGAGAAGCTATTCTTAAGACAAAGAAGTTATTGAAGAAGCTGAACCAAAGTTTGAAGATGATGATCTTGAAAAAGATAATGTAGCATACTTAGCTAAGAAATTCAGAAAGTTCAGGTTCAAGAAGAGAACTCAACCACATAACCTAACCTGTTATGGTTATGGTAAGCCTAGTCACTATGTATCTAACTGTCCTAACTCGAAGGGGAAAAATCGGAGAAATGATGAAGAGGTCAACAACAAAAGAAGATTTGGAATAAAGTCACTTGTCTCAGACTAGGATGTTGCTCTTGAAAAAGATAAACCAGAAGAAACTCAAGAAAGTGAATGTCTTTTCATGGCCATTCTTCAAAACTCTCAAGTTCAAGATAAATTTGAAGAACATGGTGATACTAAAGTTGAAGAAATCCTTGAAGAGTGTGAAAGACTTGTTGTGAAGTGTGATCAACAGAAGTCTCAAATCAAGAAAATCAATTCAGAGCTATTAAGGTCCAAACAATTGCTTACTAAGCACTTCTGGCTTAAGTTGTCAACAATGTGTTCAATCTCCTTAACTATCTTTAGTCTTTTGAAGTCCGAATCCAACAATGTGTGAACTACCAAAAGATGTAAATAAGAGCTTCCACATGTTCTTGAAGAGAGATCTTTGAAGATGGCAGAAATTTGGAAGCATTTTACAAAAAAAATTGGTAAAATAGGAATTGGATACATTTGTGATACAGCTGCAAAGACCAAACAATCTCACTCTGTGTATGTAAAGGCCACAACTGGTGAAATGTATACAAGGTTCCCCATTATAAAGCCAACAAGGTCTAAGTATGATATACTTGATAACACTTATAACACCCTGAGATTCAATAGAGGTGACTTTGTTACTTCAACCATAAAGTACTTCAAAATTACTAGGATATATATGAAGAAATCATACTTGCCTCAAGTTCAGAAAGTCATAAACAAAGGATCCCTTGTGAAGAAAAAGATGATGTGGTTACCTAAAAAGCTAAATTCAATGAGTATGTTGGTTTATACAGCCTTTAAGGCATGTAATACCAATGATAGCTGGTATGTTGATAGTGGTTGTTCTAAACATATGACAAGTAATGGCTCAAGGTTTATATCTCTGAAGAAATTTGAAGGTAGCAATGTAATATTTGGAGAAAATCAAAAGGCCAAAATTGTAGGCATTGGCATTGTAAGTAAGTATGAAGAATTACCTGAGATCACTATGGTTTTACTTGTTAAAGGACTCAAACATAATCTTCTTAGTGTAAGTCAGTTATGTAACAGTGGAAATAAGGTATGTTTTGATAAAGGGAAGTGCAATGTGGTTGATCTTAATTATGAACAAGTTATTTTCTCAGCCCTGAGATCCTCTAGAAATGTTTATACAATCACTGAAGAAGTTCAGACAACTCAATGCAATTTGACAACCTTTAATGAAGCTATTCTGTAGCACAAGAGATTAGAGCACATTCATTCAAGAAACATATCCAAAATTTTGAAGTTAAGAGCTGTAAAAGGCTTACCTGAACTGAAATTTAAGGAAGATCACACATGCGTAGCCTTCAACCAAGGGAAGCAAAATAAGGTTTCAAACTGAGTGCTAGAGGAGGGTGGAGACTCCGAGGAGGGGTGTACCCTAAGGTTTTGGGTATACCGGATGCAATGGTGGAATCCATTTTTTTGTTATGACAATTAGATTGAGGGGTTGTAGTGTACGTAAAGTCTCAATTTTTCCTTTCTTGGAGAATTGGTGATTGGACTCTGAAAAGTGCGTGATGTGCTTGATCCTAGGCATTTCCTAATGTTTAGGAATGCTCTATGTATAATGGTGAAGTCTGATATCCAATCAGACGGTCCGGTTCTCAGTTTTTAGTTTTCCGCCAGATGTGGGCCCTACTAATAAATAGTCTCCAGAGATGGAAACGTGGTTCCATCCCAATGGCTATGTGGCTTGTAGTTTGAGGAGGGGAGGCAAAAATGGTGTGTCTAAAACCTAATTGTATGCTTATCTTTCCATTGGAACTAAAAGATAGCTCAAGGAATTTCTCTACTGTGGTATGCAAATTGGCTCTAGCTGTGTGTGTGCGTGTACATTACATATGCAGAGGGCTAAATGCAAGAATTCTTAAAGGTTTGTCCTCTAATGGAAACACTATTCTAAACAACCTTGGAATCTGTAAGGGGGAAATAGCTTTCTACCAATTGGGAACCTTCCTCGTCATCCAATTGTATAAGAGAAGAATTCGACCTCTCCTATATTTTGTTTGCGAAGCCCATCCCTCTCAATGATTCTATGTTTCCTCCGTGAACAACTGATACAAATAGAGCAACAACTATCCTCTATAATGGCCTTTTAAATTTGAGTTTTGGTGCCTGATTGGTCCTTTCTGTTACCTTTTCTGTAAAAGATGTAACAGGGCCTTCTGAACTCTATAATTGGGTTTAGTTGGCCTTAAGACTCTTGATTGGGCTTGTACATTTCTTACTTAATTATCAATATATAAGGGGAAGACTTTATAATTGCGTTCAGTGCTCCAATTTTTTCCTTTGAACAAAACAAGAAATTTCCGACAATGAACGGGTTACAACACTCTTTGAATCAATATTTTCACACTATTATCATAACAACCAAATGAAAAAAAAGAAGAAAAAAAGAAAAAAGAGAGGATTATTTACAAATAAAAGTTTAATATAGAGATTGACTTTTTCTTTTTCAGAGAGAGATGATATATTATAATTTGAGTGATGGGTTTGACATTGCTCTCTTTCACCTTCTGTTATGGCTGTGAAGACTTCAGAAAAAGGAAGTCTCATAAACTTGTGCCGCTGTTCTTGTTGCTTGGGACATTTGCTTGCAGCCATTGCAAGTGATTTGCAAAATAATAGAGGTGATCTTCTTTGCAGCCTCGTCTTTCACAAATTGAGCCTTTTCAATCTCCGCGAGTGCTTGTTGGCGAATTCTCCTGGCATTGGCGAATTCCAACTCGGCCAACTCAATATCTTTCCTTGCTCGTTGTCTAGCCTCGTCGGCAAAGGTCTTCTCACCCATGGCAATCTTTAACTCCTCACTATCCTCATTCATTTCGCTGTCAGTGCTTGACCCAATTGAGAGTTTCAAATGGGTTGCTTGGTTTTCTTCATTATTGCCCAACAAGCAAGTGTTTGATAGGTGAAGTTCCAAATTACGTTGGTTTTCTTCATTATTGGCCAACAAGCAAGTGTTTGTTGGCAATATTGGTATTCCAGGCAATGGAGCAATAATGAAGTTGGTGTCACTTGACGGACTGGTGCTCGAAGCCATTCCAGATGAGCGGGCCAGCTGGGACGCTGGCAAGTCCGGCCCACCCTGCTGGAGAGTGCAAGTGTCTTGGTGTTCAATGAAACTCTCTACTCTGAAAGGACAACATTCAGAATTATCAATTCGGTGGCATGGGTTTGTCTTTGTCTTTTAAGAGAGAAATTTAGAGTTTCATGTGAGAGATTGATATATATATATATATATATATATATATATATATATATTCTGGCTTGGACCAATTATTATATATTTATTATTATTATTTGCATTTAAACTACTAGATTAATTAGTAGTTATGCTACATATCAGGGTACTAAAATTTTCAAACATAATTGATTTAAGGATAAATTACACTCACACTCTCTGAAGTTAGGTTATATTTTAGCTAGACGGAAATTTTAGTTTTAAATTTCACTCATATTTGAGTTAGTGGTTTAACATTTCACTTACATCCTAAATGTCAATTTTTAGTAGAAACAGAGTACTTTTGAAGTGTTAAATGACTATACTACCTTTTGACCACGTGTTAACTATTTTTGTGACCAAACTCCCCCAACATACAAAGGAATATCACGTCAGCCAAATACTTCACACATAAGTCATCTTCTCTCTCCTCCAATCTCTCTCTACACAAACCCATCAGATTATACCAATCACCCTTTGTCACCATCAACGTCATGATCGGCGCCATTTTCTTCACCTCTAGCCTAGCAAACCAGAGCAACCACCACAAACCTAGGAAGACCTGCATCATCAACAACAACCTATACTCCCTAGCTCTCATCCTAACCAGCGTCACCTATAGACCCAACCCATCAACCAAACTCATCACTTACAGACCCACCATTAACCAAACTTCTTCATCCTTACCGGCATTACCTATGGACCTAACCCATATACCAAATTCCGGTGGCAAGCTCTCATCAACCAAACTTCGGCCACAACACCTGTCCATCAACAGATCCAAAGAACCCAACCATCAACCAACCCATCAACTAAACTACAGATCCAAAGAAGTTAACCCATTAACCAAACTTCTTCATCCTTATCGGGGTCACCTACGAACCCAACCCATTAACTAAACTCCGGCCACAACACCTGTCCCGCCACCATGCAGATCCTTAACACCACCGACTTCGTCCCCAACCTCACCCTCCGCAGTCACATCCATCTCTGATCCTATTAGCCGCCAGAATCTGACCTCTCTTCCCTCCAAACTACCTCCTCCAATCTCAAAGCAAGAAGTAGTTCAATTGATCAGAAAAATCAACAACCATGCCGATGATTACTTGATTTCTCTCCGCAAAATCGTTGACTTCGCTAAGTCCTCCGACGGCTCAAGATGGCGGCTCACCGGACAGTAGCCCGTCAGCTCTTTGTCCACAGCCGATAACTTCATTATTACTGGAAAATTATCCCAAACACGAAAAATTCGTCCAAACTCACCGGCATCTTCCATGTTCATCATCATCGCCGGTGGTCTCTATGCTGCCGCTTTCCTGCCGTCGTTCGGATAGTGAGGTGGGTATGTGGTCGGTGTGAAAGTGAGGACATAACATGATAATTTTAGAGATATCTCAAATAAGGATGAAATGAAATCAAATGGCTATCAAAATGACTTGCCATTAGCAGTACTGTCCTTTGAATCTCACAAAAATAGATTTAACTATATGTTTCGTATAATTCGTTGATTGAATTTTACCAAAATTCCAATCCAAAATTTGAGTGGGTGAAATCATTGACAAAGAATCTAAAGAGGTTGGTCTGCAGGGAGAGGAGAGTAAAGGTGCTGATGTGTGCGTTTAGACGGTTAGGATTGGTAGGGACATTAAATGATGTGGTGGTCTCGGGAATACGTGTCCAAACAGTATATATATATATATACACACACACACATACACACAGAGGGGTCTTTTTGTCATTTAAGATTATATATATTTTGTATTAAAAAAATTGAAAATAAAATGGTCAATTCGCAGGCAAAAAGTAAATTGGGGTGTAAGTGAAAGTTAAATCTAAAATCTTCATCTAGCTAAAATATGACATAACTTCAACGGGTGTGAGTGTAATTTACCTTTGATTTAAACTTTCTAAGAACGTACAATTTTAAGCTCCGAGGTTTAGAACTACAGGTTTTCGTTTTACCATTTTTTAAGATTATGTATATAACAAATATATATATGTATAGTAAATTGAAGAAAGGTCAAGGAGGGGTACGTGCCCCCTTTGGGTCTTAATTGGCTCCGCCCCTGCTTAGATGTATTGTCATGTAAATATATGTATATAACAAAAATATACATGTATAGTAAATTGAAGCAAGGTCAAGGGGGCGTATGTGCCCCCTCTGGACCTTAATTGACTCCGCCCTTGCTTAGATATAAATTTTGTACCCAAAAAATAAAAAATAATAAAAAAGTAAGTTGGTAATCTCATTCACAACTAGCTTAGCACAGTACTTAACAAACCTATGAAGGAAAAGGCATAAAACTTTTTGATTACCTTGTATTGTTAAAATCAACCTAGGAAATTTGATTCAAAAATTATATATGTTTTATTGGGGAAAACGATTTTAAAAAAGAAATCGGAATAAAACCTGGAAAATACACGGCCACAATCACAAGAATGTCCTCGGGTGCCACAAGTCTTGAGATGTGCCTTGTAATCAGACTGAACAGCGTACCCTTTCAAGCACTTCTCACACACCCACTGCTTGTTATTGCTGTGTTTCCTCCTGAAATGCTTCTTTATGCCCACCAGGTCGCCAAGGGCGTGGGATGGGTGGTGGTGCAAGCAACTTCGCTCTGGGCACACAAACACGCGCTTCTTGGCCACCTCCGGCGACTCCCTCTTCAGCAGCTTCCACGGCACCTTATGCCGACGCCGGTGCATCTGTAGGTTCTGGTCCCTCTGAAACCCTTGGTTGCAGATCTCACACACAAACTGGTCGGATTCCAGTAAGGTCTTGGGTGAGAGTGAAACAACCTCAGCATCTGGATCTATAATATGAACATAATAAATTTGAAAGAAACCATTAACTAAAATGCAATATAAAGTAATATGCTATATATTTATGTGTATGTGTGTGTTTGTGTGTGTGAGAGAGAGACGTTGCTTACCTGGGGTACCAGCTGGTCTTCTTTTCCTTTTGTTAATAATGCCATTTTCTGAGGAAGTTAAGGCATTGGAAGAAGAAGAAGATTGATTAGTAGTTAAGGCAGTGTTGTCTAACATGGATGAATTCTCTTTAGGTGTTTTGATAATACATCTTATAGATGAGGCTAAAAAAATTCCTACCTTTGCAGCTGTTAAAGTGAGAGTTGCTTCTTTCACCTTTAATCATAGAAGGCAACGTGGAGAGAGAGGGAGAGAGAGAGAGACTTTGTTGCAATCAGATTTCTTTTGAGCTTTAAGCTTCTAGCCTTTTCTATGATCTTTCTTGCTTTCTTTTCATTGACCCCCCACCTTGAACAGATAAGTTTAAGGCAAGTCTTCTATATAAAGCTCAAAGGGTGAGAGAGAGACGGGGATTCTGGCAAATATTCTATATCTGTGTATGTATAATTTCCCAGCAGTGGAAAAGAATGTAGAATGGGGTTTAGCCCACATCACAATGCTTGAAAGTCGAGCCCACATCCCAATTTGGACTGAGGAACAAGGAAACTTCCAACCATAAGAAAACAAACGGGCATTGTTCATAACATGAGCACAGAGAGATGAAAGAAATTGATCATGCCATGCCCTAATTTTTCCTACAATAATTGTGGGAGAATGTTTATGAAATGAAGACACTATACGAAACATAAGACCCTGAATGCGACAAAGTGTAATACGGGTCGTATGAGTATGGAGTTGCAACCTAACATGATGAGTTACGTTACGTCACTTAAAATATATGATAACGAGTTAAATATAATGGTAGTGTGATGAGATTGGCAATGTCTAATGAACTAAATTAATAGATTTTAAAACTTATGATTTAGCGAAGTTATGATATGAATTGTTCACGAGGTACTACAAGGGTTATTTTGAATGCATAAAGTATACTAACTTTGATTCATAAAATCTGGAAACTTTGAATCAAAATCTGGAAACTTTGAATCTACAAAATAAAATTTAAAATATTATTGATAATTGAATGAATGATTTGATTCGTAAGTATTTATAAATAAAAACTCTAATAATATAAAAAACTCTAAAAACATAAAGAAACTAGCATTATAAGGAAACTGTTCAAAATCAAACTTTCTCCAAAAAATAAGATAAGAAACCTAATTGCTAAAAACTACTAAATACCAAAAAAGAAAGTAATTCGGATCCGTTTATGGAATTTAGCCGAAAGACACCCTACCTCAATAGCAAAGCTACTCATTTTTGCAAGTTAGACCATTTTGGATCAGACTAGGGTCTTTTCAGGTAAAAACAGACTCATCAAAATTATCCCCAAAAACTTATGTCCACCCACCTGTTTGACATTTTGACGGTCTAAACGAGCTCCAAAATATCAACAACTAGTTCTACATCAATTTATTTATAGATGAAGAAGGTGTGAGGCACTCCATATTTTTATTCTTATGCTCATTTCACGACTTTTAGGTGCGTGTGTAATATGTGATTGTGATTGGAGTGCATGTCGAACCTTGTGAGAGTCTGTATTACATAGCCTTTGAAAATAAGAATAAACTTATCAAGAACATCTGACCTCACACTCACTATAATGAAACCTAAGACAAGCGAAAGAAAGGGATATATCATGTCCAAAGTTGTAATGACCCTGTCATTTTCCTTCCTTTATTTTTTCCCTTTTTTACGGATTTTTTTTTTTTTTTTTTTTTCCGTTGATATTTTCCTTTCTGAGTTTGAGTTTTTACCCTTTGGATCATAGTGAGTGCTCAGGAATAATTCCCGACACTTATTCTTTTGGGAGATTGGTATCGTCCTTGTGAAGACCGTACCGTCTCCTCTTTTCTTTTTCGGACATTTTTCCTTTTTGTCTTTTTCTCATTTGTTACTTCTTTCGCGTAACCTCACCTTTTGTGCTCGGATTTGATTTCCGACTTTACGTACCTTCATTCCATTTGGTTTCCATGAAATGTATATCTTTACTTTTCTAGAAAAGTACGTTGGTTGTTCATTGCGTCCGTAGAGGCAATGCAAAGTTTCTTCGAAAACATTCTTCTTTCTTGGGATGTTTTTCGTAAATATCTTTTGAAAATATTTTGCTTCAGGTATTTTTAAGAAAGTATCTTTTGGAAAGATATTTTCAGTTTGGGTCATTTGTGCAGTTATCCTTTTGTGGAGGGGCATTTGTGTAATTAACGAAAGTTAATGCCAAGTGTCCTGTTTTGGGCTAGGATCCTCATACGGGATTCATTTTCACTTTTCGTCAAGTTGCGTACTCTTAGAATTACCTTCCGGTCATTTTCCCCAGTTTTAGGATTTTTGACCTCGATTGCTGCCGAACTTATTCGAGACATATCTTTCTACTTGGGACTCGATTTTCGACGTCGTTTCTTCCATCTCAAGTCCGTTCTTTTCGTTGATGGTATTTTTCATTTGAGCGTTTTTGCGCAATTTTCACTTTTCGGGGCCGCGCGGGACCTATTCGGGGGCTATTTTTGGAAATACAATAAATAGGGGAGAAGAGAAAATTTTAGACATTTCCTCTCTCCCCCACTGCTGAACAGTGCCTCTCTCTTCCTCTTCCTTCCACCTTCTCTCCTCCCTTAGGATGCCTTAGCTTTTGAGTTTTCCCTCGCCAATGAAGGCTTTATTGTCGACCTTGACGAGGCCTTCATTTCTATCCAACTAGAATCTAGTTTCAACCATTTTTGAGTTTAGGTTTCGAGTTCGGGTTTGGATTTTGGTATTGCCACAAGAGGGTTTGTTGTTCCCCTCGTTGTCCTCGCCATAACCCCGAAGTATCGACACATTAAAAAGTGTTTCATTTTGGTGTCATTTGAGATTTTCATCTCAAATTGAGGTAGGGGATGTTTTCATGTTTATACCCTTAATGTTTTACGAGTTTTTAGGGTTTTTATAACTTGTATGCATGTCTTTATATAAAATATAGAATTTAATTTAATTATTCTTTGTATGAAATTTAATTCTCATAGTTTTATCTAGTAGGGAACTAACTTAAGGCATGATATTAAATTAGGCATTGACTTGCTCTTTGACATATATTAATTTGAGAATATTTGGATGAGTTTTGAAATCTAGAGACTTTAATTAAATGACTTAATTAATTTTTATTTAATGGTGCCATTGATTTAATTAGGTATTTAACTTGATATATGTAATGACCTTGACTTGTTCTTTATCATATATTAATTTGGAATCATTTGGAGTTGTTTTACAATCTAGAGAATTTAATTATTTAATTTAATTAAATTTTATTTTATAATTTTATAGCTTTAATTAAGTATTGATGTGATATATATGATGACCATGATATGATCTTTCACATACATTAATTTGAAGCTATTTGGAATTGATTTGAAATCTAGAGAATTTAATTATTTAATTAAATTAAATTCTATTTAGTTGTTTTCATTGATTTAATTAGGTATTAATGTTGTATTCATGCTTAAGTTATAAATTTGGAACTTGTAGTATACTTACATGATGGCATTTTATGAATTGATATCATAGTGTGGCTTGTTGATATACACATTATATATTTAACATTTAATGTGCCATTGTAGCTTGAGGGCCTAGGGCATATCTTGTGTGTATTCCAACTTGTTTGTGCATGGTATGTGGCTTATTGCATTGTATATATATAAAGCATATACGTTGTTGCACAATTTGTTGATTTTGAATTTTTTAGGACGTCGTTGTTATGGCTATAGCTAGGGCATGGCTCTAGTATACAGGGTATATGAGTTCTCCCCACATTATAGTGCGCACTTAGGGAGGTTACTCACAGGCTAGTAACCCAAAAGTAACCAATTTCGTTGGTTCTATTCCGGCGTAATGTCAAAGTATCCACCTTGGTTGATTTCGTATTTTAATTTCAAGTTGCTAACTTTATAAGGTTGTAACTTGTAGTTGTTTATTCCGTTCTCCAATTTCATTAAAATTGCAATATTGTGATTTATATTAGAAATACTCTAAGGTAACTTAGGTGATGAGTGCTCAAAGGTGACGTATTTTAGCACATAAGTTAGGGTATTTTAATCCATTCATCTATCTTTATTTTTCCGTTTTAGTACTTATTTGTGTTTTTGTCTATTTTAGGTCAATAAGATTCAAATGGGCTAAAAGTGGTCCATTACAGTCTTTTTGAAGTCAAGCAAAAGTTCCGAGAAGATTCTAGAAAAATTTGGAAAAAGGTCAAAAATGCTAAATTTTGGATGGATCGAGAATTTTTCGATAGATCGAAGATTTCTTCGATCGATCGAAAATACGCTGGCAGCGAGATGTTTTATTCCTGAGCGCTTGAATTCTACCTACCACATAGCTGCAAGATTAGATATTTTAAAGACTTATTTTTTGACTTGTTCCCTACTCCAAAGACTTGGTATTTAAAGGGAATTGAATCATTTTATAATATATCTTTTGTCTTCAATTTTATTTTAATTTTACGTTGTAATAGTTAGTTTCTCTCTCTAGAAAAGTTAGAGATTAGGGTTAGATGAAAAGGGAAGAGTGGAGGCACCAAGAACACATCTCAAAATCTACACACACTCTCTCTAGAATTCAACAAAGAAGAAGAGGAAGAAGATGGAGTCATATTTGGGGATTGCCCTTTAGGGTTCCAAGATCACACCCACCTCCTCCATGATTGGCTATACTTCTCCTTAGGGCTTGGATGAGCCCCAAGTTTGTAATCTAAACCTTATCTTTTTCATACTTTTTGGGGAATAATATCTTGTGATTAGTGTTTTAGCCTTGTGAATTTAATGAATCTTGGGTTATCTTTTGATTTCTATAGATTAGTTCTTTCTATTAATTCTCTATGTGATTACATGTTGTCTTATGTGTGATTATTTAGGAATTGATCTCTACACTAGTTAATCTATAATAATTATATGTCTATGTGTGGTTGATTGAGAATCTAGTGATGGCTAGACTTAATCTTTATTAGATAGGTTTGTCAATCAATTTGATGGATTATGCTTATGCTTGATGGGTTGTTCTACAATTTAATTCATGCTTGTAGGTAGGTTGACAATCTTTACTTGATTTGATATTTCATGGCTTATTATTGCAAATTCCATGATTCTCTAGATTGATGTGCGCTAAAATTGTGACTAGTTTGATGAGTCATGCTTAGAATTGATGGGTTATTCTACACTTAGTTTAATTGTTGGTTAGGTAGGAAATTCGTTATTGAATTTGATGGTCCATGCTTAATATTACAATTGTTAGTCGTATTTTGTTCACAAGAATGTTTTCCCCAAATTAATTGAAAGTGTGTGGTTTGGTGAATGAGCTTGGTGGCGATTCCAGTGCACCCCAACCCTCATTTCTCATCTCTTAAATCCCTAACTCAACTTTTTTTTATTTTAATTGCATTTT